AAACCTCCATTTGTTTACACATTGCCTACAAGAAGAATTCTTTAAAGGCTTTTAAAATCTTATTTCTTAGTATTCCCTTCTATAAAATCTGAGCTTTAGGGAAATTAGACTGAGTTTATATATGTAAAGCACTTACAATCTTGACTGCCTACACTAATACATAAATCTTAGCTATTAATATTATTGTTCACATTTATTTGAATATGTGGTGTGCCTCTAGAACATTACTAATTCCCTTTTCTGACTGAATACTTCAATCTGCAAAGGGAGGAGTGTTTTACATTATCAATGACCAACACAGGGCAATTCTTACTGCTAAAAAAACTATCCTCCTTATACTTGATAAGACCTTATAAACATAAACCCTAATTTATCACAAAATTGAATTTCAGACTAGATGAGGTAGAAATAAAAGGTAGTATTTCTTTCATTCAAGAAACAGCAAATTTATGAAATGTGTTATTTTTTTAAAAAGCAAAGGCTGGGGATATAGCTCGGCGACACAGTGTCTGCCTGGCAAGTGCAAGGTCGTGAGTTTGATTGCTGTTACACGCCCCCCCCCCAAAAGTTAAAAAATGCAAAGCCTGAAAATACAGTATATAAATGGGCTCTGAACTTAGGGCAGTTGCTTTCCAAATGTGTCATATATTAGAATAATCTGGCAGTGTTCATGAACGTAGCTGTCTGGACCCCACCCCAGATTTATTGACTCTAAGGTTATGCATCAGGCACTGAATTTTTTTAAAGCTTCATAGGTGATTCATGCACATAATTTTAAAGTTCACAGGTGTTTTTCACCTACATATCTGACAATTACTGGGCCAATCAAGAGAAACTTTAAAGAGGTTGTGCATGTTTAGCATATATTTTCCCAAAGCTCTCCTAAAGCAAGTTTTTGAACGACTAAGCTAGAGAAATGATTAACCTGTGTGCTTATCATATGTACTCCATCCTAAAACGAAAAAAAGAAAGAAAACCCCAACATGGCTTTGAATTTGATTTAGGGATCAGAAAAATACATACAACCCCAAATAGTAAATATTCATCTAAACTCTGCTAATCTGCTACTTATAAATCTCAAAACAGAATTACTTAAGTAAATATATATTTAACTATGTACAATGTTTTACAACTTAACAAACTTTACAACTCAAAACAGTTAAGCATGTAAATATGAAAAAGTTGGCATTGTTATATAACATTCAAAAATTTCAAAAAACACCTTTTCTTCAAAAATATTTTACACCAATTTTCCAAATAGCTATTGCTTCACTAGCTCATTTTATCACAAAGAACACAGGTACCCAAATCTCTAGGATTGGAGTAACCTATGTACTGAGACAGCACTTATTACAGGACTGAGGATGTTAAAAAGTTTGGGTCTTTAAAACATTACAACAAAGCCCCTTTCACCCTCCAATCCTGAGACAACAAATCCTGTAGTTCTCCTTCATCGTCGCTGTCAGCATTCTCCTCTTCCTTTTTCTGCAGTTCTTTTATGGTCAAAACTTCTTTAAGCTTATTTTTTATTTCATCCTGGCGATTCCGCAGCTTTTCTACCCGACGGTAACACTCTATTTGCTCATCAATCTCCCCAATCTGGCGGTCCAACCGGCCCTCCTCATCCTCTTCAGCAACTATAGCTTCGGAAATAGTGCTCACCTGCCTCATGGCTTTTTGAAATTCGTCCCACTCTTTGTCCATCTGATCCTTTGGGGCGTCAACCTTTCGTACCTTTGCATCTACCTCAGGGTCGTCAAAAAATCCTTCCGGTAATGCTTCCGCAGTGTTTTCTTTCCTTTCCACCACTTTTTCATGTATTTCTGCTTTCTCAATTGACCCTGAATGAGGAATTAAGGGAGCCTTGGGAGGATTCGTATTAAAGGAATCGTTCGGCAGCACACTACTTGTTGCGTCCCGCGAGGAGGAAAGTGAGTGTTCTTTGCTCAGTGGGTCTGGCAGCTGCTTGCTGCCACCCCCCAGTTTTCCTTCTCCCTCCTCCTCCTCTTCCTCGTCTTCATAATCGGGGAGTAAACCGAGTCCCGAAAGCTTACTGGGGGTCGCTCTAGCGGACTCTTTTCCCGTTTTATCAAAGTTGGTGGACGAGGTGGAGGGCTGTACCTGAGGCACCTTGACTTTCTTGGCATCTGGGTTATCAGTATCGGGCGCTTTCCTCTTGGCACACTGAAGCGCTGCGCTGGCAGATGGACCTGGGGTGACACCTTTTGCGCCTTTCAGCTCGGCCACTTTTTCTCGGTGCTGCTTTCCCAGGACGTGAGTCTGCCACAGAAGCTCGCTCTTGACCGGGGTGTTACAAAGAGCACAACTCAGCTGCCCTAAACGGTTGTATTTAGCGAATGGAGATTCTATCTTCTTTCGGTTAGTGCTTAGACGCTGCTTCTCCTTCATCAACCGTCTCAATTCTTCCTGATTCACCACTCTCTTTCCGGCCGGAGTCTGAGCGGAGGTGGAAGACGCCATCTTTGCGACCAGACCCGATGTGATTATGGTTTCAGTCCGGGCGAGGTATGATAGCGTCACTTCCAGTCTCGGCGCCGATTGGCTGAAGTTGGGGAGAGGGGCGTGGCTCCAGGGTTTTCTCTTCAAAACTGCTACGAAGTCGGGCAGCGCCTGTAACCGTTAGACTATGGCTGCGGTCAAGGTGGTGAACTCCAAGGCTGAGGTGGCGCGGTCCCAGGCGGCCTTGGCTGTGAACATCTGTGCCGCCCGAGGGCTGCAGGATGTGCTGAGGACCAACTTGGGTCCTAAGGGCACCATGAAAATGTGAGGCGGTGGTTAGGGCGCCTGGTGTGTTTTGGGTACAGGAACAGGAAGGCGTTTCGCAAAGACCGTGGAGCGCTGGGGACGCACCTGTGGGCCTGTTCCCCTCCTCATTCCTGCCCTGAGGGCGTTTTCAGCCTGGTGGTGGGGGTGGAGAGGGGGAGAAAAGTTTGCTCGAGGAAAAAGACCGGGGCACCTGACACACCCGTCCTTTTCTCGTTAAGGTTGTTAGGCAGTTGGAAAGCCGGTTCCAAAGCCAGTTCGTTTGAGGCGTTTAAACCCTACCCCCGTGTTGGCGAGCAAACCTGGAGCCTGGTGTACTCTAGGCGCTTTACCACTGAGGTGCAAACCACCTTACCCGTTGCTCTTGAGACTGCATGGCCTTAGTCTGTAAATTCCACGGGTAGTCTCCCCCTCCCAGCTAGCTACCTTCTCTATCACTGAGCTTCCTCACCAGCGGCATTATAGATACATAATTTCGTTTTCGCGTAGTACTGTGTTGTAGTGGAAACAAAATGAGTTTTGGAGTCAGGCAGACATGGGTTCAAATCTAAGTTCCATAAGTATCTGTTAATGAAAATTAATCTCCAGTTGGTAACGTGAGATCTACAGTTTTTTTTTTTTTTTTTTTTTCTTTTTCTGGGAATCAAACTCACAACCTTGCGCTTGCCAGGCAGGCGCTGTGCCGCTGAATTAAATCCCCAACCCCTAATTGTTTTTTAAAGCTGTGGTTCCTTCTTGGTTCTCTGACCTATTTATGGACCAACCCCATGCTCTTCAGCTTACTACAGCTTCTGAAAGATTGTGATCCTTGATCTATACCAATCCAAAGTTGGTCAGAAAGTATTTACTAGGGTTAAACACACACACGCTAATCTAGCTCTTGAGTACTTGGGGAAGTTACTTGACTGCTTTATGTCTACAGCTCTTCATATTTGTTCATTGTTTCACCACATTTATTTAGGACTATTATTTTCTTTACACAAGAGGGAAAAGAATGGTGAAAGCTAAAGGATATAAGAGAAGAGAGACACCCTGACAGGAAAGAGAGAGCTAATAGTAATGGTAAAAGAGGGCATGTATACAGAAGATACTGGGAAAACATGACAAAGATCTATTCTTAAGGAGATCTGGTAGACAGACGTGGTAATTATATATAGATACATATGACTGTACTGAGGGAAGAGACTCCTGATGACAAAAGGAAAAGCCTCTCCAGTAACATGATGTTTATTAGAGTCTTGAAAGAAGGGTAAGGGCTGGCTGGGTTTGGTGGTGCATTCCTATAAGCCCAGTACTGGGGAAGCCAAGGCAGGGGGATCACTATGAGTTCAAGGCCAGCCTAGGGTACATAGCAAGACCCTGTCTCCATAAACCAACCACACAAACAAGAAAGAAATTTAAAAAGAAGTAAGGCTCACCTAGTTAATTTCTGTTTTTTCTTCATTAAGGGAACAAAAAGGCTTGCTTGTGGGAAGGCAGCAGGTGAGGCAGGAAAGATAGCAATAGGCCAGAATGGTAAAGGTCAAGTATGTCATTGTTAAATTAGTTTGGGTTTTAACTTGAAAGAGATTGACAACATAAAATGATCACTTTAGGATTTTTGCTCAGGGTACTGAGTTACAGTGCATTTTTGTTTGCTTATTATGTAGTCCAGGCTGGCCTGTTTTAGCCTCCTGAATGCTGGGATTACTGATGCCCAGGTTGCATTGCCTTTTAGAAAGAGAAATGTACTGTGAGGGTAGATTCAAGTTGGAGATACCTGGGATGCTGTCTTAGAGATGATGATGATAGTGGAAGTAGAGAGAAAGGATTAAGATTCAGAGAAATTTAGGTTGTAGAGCTGACAGAATTTGGTAATCTAATTAAATGCGAGCAATGAGGGGAACTAAATTGAGTGACTGAATGATTGATAGCATTTGTCAAAGTTAAAAACAGCAGGAAATTTGCAAATTTGTGTTTTATGTACTCTCCTTTGACCAATGTTCATAACTTATCAACTGCTTTTATAAACACATAAAGGCTAATTTCGAATGAAATCACTGTAAGTCCATCTGGGGAGAAGTGATTCTGTGAGCTGCAAGTAGTGATAATTACCATGATATCTCCCCATGGCATGATGGATGTTTTCCAAGCCCAGTTTCCTGTTTCAAGGAAAGTGGAGTGTCTAGCTTGGCACTTACCATATGAGGTTAATAACATCACTGTTGTCTGAACAGGCTTGTTTCTGGTGCCGGTGATATCAAACTCACCAAAGACGGCAATGTGCTGCTCCATGAGATGGTGAGCTGATGCTGCTGACTTTAATGAACCTTAGTAAGCCTTAAGACCATGGTACAATTTGTGAATCTTTATGCCAAGGCCATCAGCCAATTACTGCAATCTTGTGATAGGCTTCTTTGATTAAACCTTGCTAAGGAATGGTTTTTGGCTATTTTCAAATGTTTGTATAGTCCAAGTAATAGCTTAATTAATATCTTTTTCTGCATTATATTCTTTGTAATCATGGAAAAATAAAAAATTAGCAGTTTTCATAAATATTTATCTTTGAGATTGAAAGATTTAATCTTCTTTTGGAAATGTCATTGCATTCTGAAGCAAAGACTTATGAAATGTGCAGACCTCATTAGTTTTCAATTTTTAAATTTTGAACTTGACATTTATTAAGTATTGATAATGTAAAACTTGTAAACCTGTAGAGTGAAGCTTATTTCTTTTCTAATTTTACTATTGACCCTTAGGTCATCTTGTTTCATGTGGCCTTTAAAAAAAAAATCTCATTCCTCTCCCTTTAAATCTTTTGTACTTTTTCAGCAAATTCAACATCCAACAGCTTCCCTTATAGCAAAAGTGGCAACTGCCCAAGATGACATTACAGGAGATGGTACTACTTCAAATGTTCTAATTATTGGAGAGTTACTAAAACAAGCTGATCTTTACATTTCTGAGGTATTAAAATTTGACAGAATTCACATTATATTGTAAATTTTAAAAAACAAAAATTATATTGTGAATGTAATTTTAGAGGGTACAGGTTAATTTTAATCAAGATATTCTTGGAAGCTGGGCATGGTGGCACATGCCTGTAGTCCCAGCACCTGGGCAGTGAAGGCAGGAGGATCGCTGTGAGTTTGAGGCCAACCTGAACTGTATAGTGAAACCCTGTCTCAGAAAGACAAACAAGATGTTCTTGGAAGATTATAAATGGAAATAATAATGAACTATTTTTGCCAAAATAATACCTTTTATTGGAATCATATACTTCTTTTTAAAATGAAACATTTAAGGAATATTAAATGGTAAAAGTTATCCACATACTCATGAGTAATGGATTACAAAACAAAATACCATTGGTAAAGTTGAAACCAAATTATATGCTTTTTGAAAAATAACTGGAGAAAAATTATCAAATATTTTGCACATTGAGAATTTATCTTCCTCTTTAGTATTTATAAATCACCTATTGTAGCCAGAGTCCTCCATTCACCAGACTCTGAAATCATCAAGTACATTTATACCTTTGTGGTTTGTTCAGTGTGTATTCTTTTCTTGGCATTACTTATCTCTTTTCTATAATTATTTGAAATTTTCTTCTTATTCAGGGGCCATTTCAGCAAAGCATAACCTGGTCAAAGTTCTAAAATATTATTTCTTTGTGTTTCATTTCATATGTGGAATTGTCTGTTAATTCAATACTGGCAATTTATCTTAGTTAGAATGCTTTTAGCTGTAAGCAGTAGAAACTTGACTAAAACATACTTAAATAATAAGGGAATCATTATCTCCCATAACAGAACATTAGGCAAGATCTAGGATTGGTTAATTAAAAAGTTCACTGAGTTATAAAGTACCCAGGACCCTTCTGTCTCTTAACTCTGAATGCTCAAAATACTGTTTCATCCTAAGGGTTGTTTTCATCTTAAATGTTAAGATTGTCAGAGGAACTCAGTGCTACTTGCTTTCTTTGATAATACTCAATAGGAGAAGGAAAGAGAAAACCATTCACGCAACTACAGAACATAAATCCTTTCTGTAGTATGATTGCTTATGCTTGTGTCTTATGCCCATCCTAAACAAGTAACAGTTTTTAGGAAAATTGACATAGACTAATGAGCATTTACTCCTTTAGTTGGGGATTTGGTTACTTTTCTGTGAAACCCAAGTGGAAGAGAGACACACAAACAAAATTAGGGTTGGGTTAGGAAGAGAAGAGTTTGGGAACAGTGTGGTACTGACAGAAACACTTTTTTTTTTGAGAGAGAGTCTCATTATGTAGTGAAGGATGTAATCATGAAACAGTGTGGCTGGATAGTGATAGAGCTTGGCACAGGATATGATAGAAATCCTGAGGAGGGACCAGTATCTCAATCCATCTGTGGCAGGTAGAAGCACTTATTGGAGGAAGTAGACTTGAGCTAAATCTTTAGGGTGGAGTAAGCAAGATCAAAGAGTGGAGGATGAGGATAATAGCATTCCAGGCGGTTGGGACAACATGGTATTCTTTGTAATATAAGCAGATTGATGTTGCTGGAGTTTAAAGTGATGTGGACAGCAGTGGAGAAGAGGCTGGAGAAACAGGTCACAGAGAGTGTGTTGCCAAGAAACTTACGCTTTGTCCTGTGGTGAACAGATGAAACATATCAACATGTTAAAGATTAATGTGGTCAGATTGGCATTTTAACTATTTGGGGCATTTTGATTTTGAGACAGGGTGTTGCTATGTGGTTCAGGCTGGGCTTGAACTCTCTATGTAGGCCAGACTGGCATTGAACTTGGGGTGATCCTCTTGCCTCAGCCTCCTGAGTGCTGGGATTACAGGCATTCCCAGTATGGGGGCAGTTTTCAAGAACTTGAGATTCTTTTAATAGTTCTTAGGAACAACTGTGAGGGCGTAGATCAAGGAAATTTTTGGAAATAGTAAATAGTAAATAGTAAAGCTCTGGAGTCAGGTCTTACGGGTTTAAATCCTGCCTCCACTTCTTAATTAACTTGATCTAAGGCAAATTACACTATCCCTTTATATTTTGGTATTCTCATGCATGAAGGAGGAATAATAACACCCTCTTTATAATGTTGAGAGGATTAAATTAAATAATTCATGTAAAACTCTATTCTAGAATAGTGCCAGCACAAATGTTCAATTAATGTCAACTTTTCAGTATCATTTTAGGTATGATATAAAGGAATGGAAGGAATTAATTGGATCTGGTGCTAGCTTTCACAAAGTTTGTGTATTTTGCAGGATAAATAATACTATTTCTAAAAATGTGTTTTGTCAGAGTTTTAGGTCTGTAGGAAATTTGTAAGAATATTACAAAGAATTATCATATGCTTTTAATCCAGATTTCCTGTTATTTTCTACCTCTTTCCTTTCTCTCTCTGATATATATATATTACATATATTATATATTAGTGTACATATCTTTTTCTGAATGGTATCAGAGTAAGTTGCAGAAGTGACCAAAATATTTCAGTATATTTTTGAAGCCGCTGAATTATATAACCATATATTTATGTTAGTATATAAAATAGGAACTTAATATTAACAGTGACATATTCATAGAACACTTTTTTTTTTTTTTGGAGGCAGGGTCTCATTATGTAGTGCAGGCTGCCCTTGGATTCACTTATGTTTTACTTTTTTTTTGGTACTGGGAATTGAACTCATGACCTTAGGCTTTCTGGGCAGGCACTGTGCCACTGAGCCTTTGAACTTACTTATATAGCCCCGGCTGATCTTGAACTCATGACAGTTCTTCTGCCTCAGCCTCCTAAGTGCTGGGATTACAGGCATGCACCACCATGCCCACCTATAATATTCTTATCTAATTTGCAGGTTTTAGTCAAATGTTACCACTTGTTCCAATAGTATTCTTTTTTTTTTTTTTTTTTTCTTTTTTCCATACTGAGGATTGAACCCAGGGCTTCACACTGAGCTGTATACCAGCATTGTTTTTTAAGACAGGGTTTCATTAAGTTGCCCAGGCTGACCGTGATTTTGCAATCTTTTTGCCTCAGCCTCCCAAGTAGCTGGGGTTATAGATGTGTATCACTATACCCAGCCAACAGTATTTTTTAAAGAAGTAGGAAATTTAGGGTTATAAATTGCATTGAGTTATCACATTCCTTTAGTCTCCTGTGAGCTGAAATAGTTCCTAAACTCCCTTTATGCTTCATAATATTGCTACTTTTAAGGAGTAGAGGCCAATTATTTTGTAGACAGTCCCTTAATTGGCTTTGTGTCTTTCCTCACAATTAGATTCAATTTTTGAGTTTTGCCAGAAGCACCACAGAACTGTTGTTCTGTTCTTCTGAAGGCATCCTGTCAGGAGCACATGCAGGCTATCTGTCCTATTACTGCGATGTTAACTTTGATCACTGCTTGAAGATGGTGTCTGTCTACCACTTTTCTCTAAATCAGTGGTGTTTCTTTCTGCCTGCATTGAAAGGAGTCTTTTGTGCCCATTCAGGACACCACATGAATATGTGGTCATAATTTTTAGAGATAAAATTCTGTATCATTTGTAATGTTTTTTTTTTAATTATTTTTTATTCTCTTTAAAATAAAAAAAGATAATTTTTAGAAACAAAGATTTGTAGTTTTTTGTACTAGACCTGCAACTTTTCTATTTGATCTGATTATTTCAAATAAGAAGCACTGAAAAACAACCTTTATAAATTGAATACATGCACTCACATTTAGTAACATTAATGTAGATAAATTACTTTTTTGGACATGTAGGGTATGTAATTCAGTGCAAGGCCCTGGATTTAATCCCAGTACTGGAAAAGACAAACAAACAAAACACACACTATTGGAACAAGTGGTGAAATTTGAGTAAAATTTGCAGGTAGATAATGGGCTATATGAATGTGTCAATGTTAATATTAATTACACTGTGGTTTTACAAGAGAATTCCTTGATTTTAAAATAGGAGAGGATAATTGTCTTTACTTTGCATGATTACCTTTACAGTTTACAATTCTATGTTGATTTAATAGGGCCTGCACCCTAGAATAATAGCAGAAGGATTTGAAGCTGCAAAGACAAAAGCACTTGAGGTTTTGGAGGAAGTTAAAGTAAAAAAGGAGATGAAAAGAGAAATCCTCTTAGATGTGGCTAGAACATCTCTGCGAACAAAAGTTCATGCTCAACTGGCTGATGTGTTAATACAGGTATGGATTAAACTTCTGTGTCCGGAATGAGTACAGCTTAACACTTGATGATATTTTTATTTTTCCTGTAAGGTAGCCAAGTGGTACTGCATGTGATTCTTTTGAATGCAGAAACAAAATAAGACAAACACTTATATATAGGTGCAGATCTGATTGGTTAAAACCATATTTGTAATTCTTTAAAAGTGTCACATTAACACTTAGTGACTTGAAAGTTCAGGGAGGCTTGGCACCCGTGGACAGACGCCTTTGGAAGCTCTGGGTATTATACTCATCTACACCTAGCGGTCCATACTTTTTCTTTTTTTGGGGGGGAACAGGGTCTCACTATGCAGTTCAGGCTGGCCTTGAGCTCACTTTGTAGCCCAGGCTGGTCTTGAACTTGCAACGATCCTCCTGCCTCATCCTCCCAAGTGCTGGGATTACAGGCATGTGTTACCATGCTCAGCTGCAGTCCATACTTTGTTAGATGATGTAACACATGTGGAAGTTGTTTGGCTGTGCACCTCATAGTTTAGGTTACCAGTTTAAAAAAGTATGATTGATTTGACATAGTATTTTTTTTTTTAATCTTTTTGCTATGCAGTTCAGGCTGGCCTTGGGCTCACTTTGTAGCCCAGGCTGGTCTCAAACTTCCAACGATCCTCCTGCCTCAGCCTCCCGAGTGCTGGGATTACAGGTGTGCGCCACCACACCCGGCCTGACATTATAGTATTCACGCTTAAGAAATGCATATTTGTTTTGTTTACTTCTAAAGGTAGGATAGATGTAATATAAAGCCAAGATTGGGTGGATATTTTAAGAAAGATTTTTATTGGGTTGTTATCATTGATGATGTCATTCTTACTCCTCAGCTTTGCAGTTTCTGAAAATTGAGTATATCGCTTTGTCAGGAATGATGAATTCGTAACAACCATATGCATAAGACATTGACATACAAAGCAGAATGTTATTAATTTACTTGAGAAGTACAAATGCTAAATGGACTGGAACATCTGAGTTATTTCTGCTCAATTCTCCTTACCAATAGGAGAACCTTCCTGGGAAATCAGGTTTATATCAGACAATTTCTTGCTGAGCAGAGTCAGAAAAAAGCCTGCTGTTGAAGTACTCAGGTGGCCCAGGATATTCATGCTATCTGACTAGGGGAGCCATTTGCTTTTAGAGGCTTAAAAACACTGATAATCTCACTACCTACTGGCCTTTGTCTTATTCCCTCCTAAGCTCCACTATTAATAATATGTTACCTAGGTAAACTTTTCTAAGATACGGTGGGTTTTTCTTTTTGCTTTATTTATATTTTAGGGTGGTTATACTTTAGCTCTTAATTTCTGTGATTAGTTACTTTCATATTCTTTTCTGAGCTAAGCAGTAAGATGTGGGTGTTCTGCTTCTTAAATTGCATGTCCCTGGAGATATGTGGAAGACTAAATGGGACATGTCTTTCTGGAGTGTCAATTTTATTTTACAGTTTTAGGGGGAACAAAAACAGTGAAACAAGTGTGCATATGTTGTGGCATGACACGGAAACTTTCAGTGATAAAATGTGAGACTTAATCATTAAATGTATTATGACCAGCAAATTTGAGCTCTTCTCTTAGATTACATTTCCTCTCTTTCCATTGATGAAGGTGTTCTTTCGTGGAAAAATGGGGCAGCATTGCTATGACTGAACAGTGGCTTGGCAGTTAAAGAGACTGAATTCTAGTCCTTGCTCTGCTACTGTTAGATCTGATTTTAAAATGATAACTAACTTCCTAAGGTCTTATCTCAGGTTTATTTTTTTAAAGTAAAGGTTTTGGACCTGATAATTCTGAAGTTAGACTCTATAGTTTTCATTGATATATTTATTTAGCAGTGCCAGGGATTGAAATCACCACCTTGCACTTGCCAGGCTGGCGCTTATGCCACTGAGCTATATCCCCAGCCCTCATTGATATTTTTAAAATCAGTCTCCATAGTAAAGTGGCATTTGTTGGCTTTGCCTTATGTTTTGTAGCCTGAAGCCCTTTACGTTTTTAGTCTGGCAATGATTACTTGGACCAACTAATTTACCATTTTTATTCACTTCTTTTTAGGCTGCGGTGGATGCTGTTTTGGCTATTAAAAGACCAGGTTATCCTATTGATCTCTTCATGGTGGAAATCGTAGAGATGAAGCATAAATCAGAAACAGATACACAGTAAATTGCATAAATTTTGATAATATATAGGTTCTAGAATATTTGCTTTTCTTTACACGCTCTTGCATTAATTTCATTAGTTATTTTTGTTCAACATCAGTCTGTTCATTCAACATATGTTAATGGGTACTTATCATGGATGCTGGAATGAAGAGTAGACAGAACACTCTCTTTCCCCAAGAAGCTTACTTTCCTAATTGGACTAGACAATGAACCAGATTTTTATGTTGCTCAGGGAAGGCCATTCTGGTAAGAAACAAAGCTATAAAGCTAAGAGATCTCTGAAGAAAGAAGGGGTCTGCCCGTGTGTATGTGTGGAAGAAGAGGTTCCAAGCAGAGAGAATAACAGTTGGAAAGGTTCTGAGGTAGAAGTGTGGTTAGGATGTTCCTCTGTGTTTGCCTGAAGCACAGGTGAGAGGGAAAAGTAGTAGGAGATGAGGTCAGAGAGTAAGAGAACCTAAAATATGTGTCTTGTTGAGTAGGATTTAACTAATATTAAACTTTCTATTATGGAAGACCCTAAACTTACATAAATATAAAGAAGATAAAGCAGGAGACTCCCATGTATGGGTCACTTCTATTTATCAATTTTTAATATATCTTATTTCGACTATACTCTTCCTTTTTCTCCCAACCTGAATTATTTTGAAACAAAACCAGACATATTTCGCCTGTATTTTATTATCTGTAAATAAAGATAATTCTTACTCCCCATTTACCTAATGTATCTAAAAATAGTACCACATCTAAAATTTGATAATAAATTATTAATACCATCACATATTCATTCAGTTTGTATTCTAATTTTAGTAATTATTTTTTTTTAGTTAGTCTTGTTTGGATTAAGATCCAAACAGTCTACTTTTTTTTTTTTTTTCTTTTTTGGTATTGGGGATTGAACCCAACATTTTTGCACTGAGATACATCCACAGCCCCTTTTTTATTTCAAGACAAGGTCTTGCTAAATTGCCCAGGTGGGACTTGAACTTGTGTTCCTCCAGCCTCAGCCTCCCAAAGTGTTGGAATTACAAGCATGTGCCACCACACTTGGCTGCTTATTATCTTTTAAGCCTCTGTTACTTAGTAGGGTCTCTTTTCCTCTCTTTAGTACTTTGATAATTGTTTGCAAGAAGTCTGGTTGTTTGTCATGTAATCTTTTGGTACAAAGAATTTTGAGTACTTATATACTACTAATATAGCATTTGCCTGTCATATTTTTGCTTATATTTTATTTTTTGCTTATATTTTACTCTCAGTCTTTCTATATATTTTAGGTGAGTTTTTGCAGTGGGATATAGGAGAGACTTACAAATATTAAATCATATAATTAATCTGTTATATTTAATAGTTATAGATATATTTAATTTTAAACTTGCATCTCATTTTTTTACTTTATATTTATTTCCACTTGTTCTGTTTCTTTTTTATCTTCAATTTGTTAAGTATTTTTATTCCATTTTTCCTCTTTAGTAGTTTACAAGTCCCATACTTGTTATTTTATGATTGATCTAGAAATTACATCATAAATACATCTAAGCTTAATATCTTTAATCTCCTTTTCTGGATAGTAGCTCCATTTACTCATGGCTAAACCATGTTATTGTTATTGGGTTTTTTTTTTTTTTTTTTTTTTTTTGATACCGGAAATTGAACTCAGGACCTTGCACTTGCCAGGCAGGCACTTGTGCCACTGAGCTATATCCCCAGCATTGTTACTGTTTTTTAAAATCCAATTTGATGCTGTTATTACATACAATACTTATAAAGTTTATGTTTTTATTTCCAATTTGATTTGCTCTATAAAGCCTTGTATATGAAAGCCTTCCATGTGGGTTTACAGTAGGCCCTTCTATCTGTGGAGAATATGTTCCCATACCCCCAGTGGATGCTTGAAATTGCAGATAGTCTGACTCCATATGTAAAGTTCTCTCTTTGTATCCATGGGGCATTGGTTGTAGGATGCCCTTGTGGATACCAAAATCTGTCAGTGCTCGAGTCCCTTATATATAATGACATAGTATTTTCATATAATCTATGAACATCCTCTTATATATTTTAAATCATCTATAGGTTACTTATAATATCCATCCCATGTAACTATTAGATAAATGATTGTTGTAATAATAATAAGAAAAATAGTGTATATGTAATCAGTGCAGATGTAATTTTTCTTTCAAAATATTTCCAATCCACACTTGGTTAAATCCATGGATGCAGAACCTGCAGATATGGAGGGCCAGTTGTATTTTTTTTTCCTATATGTATATGACTTTGATATGGTTTAACCTATAAATTAGGCACAATAAGCAATTAGCAACAATAACATAATAAAATAGAATAATTATGATAATATACTATAATAAAAGCTCTATGAATGTTGTCTGTCTCAAAATATCCTACTGTGTTCACTCTTCTTGTGATAATGTGACCTGATACCATGAGATGAAGTGAGGTTGATGATGTAGGCACTGCACTGTACATTAGGCCACCATTTAGCTTCTGATGGTAAATCACAAGGAGAGTCATTTGCTTCAGGTAATTCTGGATCATGGAGATACGATAATGTCGATGTTCATGGATCCTTGATTGTTGAACACATTTCTGCTGAAATCTTTTGGAAGAACATTGTAATCAGAAGTTGTCATTTCTTTTTAGCTCATCCAAGTGTTGCTGGAGAGGTTAACACTTAAGTAATCATATGAGTGGCTTTAATGCTGCATTCCACATAATTTTGTCCTTTAATATTTTGGCAAATTTTGATAGTGTTTTCATTGCTGGTTCTGCTCAGTATCTTCCTCCTCTGCTGCTTTTCCTCCTCCTCCTTCTCAGTGTCCTTGTCCTCCTCCTCCTCCTATTTTCTCCTCCTCCTCCTCCTTATTCTGTCTCTGCCTCTCTTCTTTCCTTCCTGTTTTGAGATGGGATCTCACATATTTCTCATACTGGCCTTGAATTTGCAATCCTCCTGTCTCAGCCTCCTGTCTCAGCTGGTGCACACCTGGCTCAGTTTCTTCTCTTCCATCTTTCCCTTCATCTGTAGATGACCAAACAGGTTCTAATCCCTCATTTGTTAACAGTACTTGATGGTTGACAATGGGTAACTGAGACCATGGGTAGTTGAAACCAAAGGAAAGCAAAACTTTGGACAAGTGAAGGAAAACCATACTTTCTTTCTGCTTAAAATTCATTCTTTAGACTTTTTAAAGTGAAAATACTAAAGGCATATTTTCAATTCTTGCTTGTCTGAAAATATCTTATTTCATCTTCGTTCTTTGGTACTTTCATTGTGTGCTAAACTAGGCTGGCAGTTACAGATTTGGTCTTTGACTTATGGTCTGATGTATGATTTTTTGACATTACGATGGTGTGAAAGTAATATGCGCCCAGTGATATGGACTTTGAATTTTGAGCTTTTCCTAGTCATACACAGTAATACATAGTAGAACACTGTCTTGTGATAGCGGCAATGGGAGTTCCCAGTCCATCATGCAGGTGTGAGAGTAAACAACTGATAACTATATGGTATGGGTAAACTCTGGTGCTGGAAAGGTTCATACTGAGAATTGAATCTAAGAGTGCTCTACCACTAAGCTACATCTCCAGCTCTTTTATTTTTTATTTTGAGACAATGTTTTTGAATTTTCCTGCTTTAGCCTTCCACATAGCTGGGATTACAGACATGCACCACTGTGCCTGGTTAAATGTATTTTTGACTTATGATATATTGAATTTATGATAGATTTATCTAGATGGAGCCCCACTGTAAGTCAAGGAGCATTTTCTTTGAGCTGATTAAAGATATTGTTCTACTGTCTTCTGGCTTTCATGTGGCTCATTTCAGAAATGACCTGTTCTTTAAATGAAATCCTTATTTATTTACTTCAGTGATTTAGAGATATTTCTTTGTCTCTGATATCCTGTGCTTTTACTATGATGTGTGTAAGTGTGGGCATCTTTTAATTTATTCTGCTTGGTATTTATTAGGTTTTTTATGTCTGCAAATTGATGTACCTGGTTCCAGAAAATTCCCATCCATTATGTCCTGAAACAATTATTCTGTTCTATCTCTGGTTCTCCTTTTTCAATTAAATGTATGTGTGATGTTCTTACTCTATTTTTCGTGTACTTTATACCTGTTGTCTTTTGTGTATTACATTCTAGATAATTTTTAGTAATTGATTGTTGCTCAATAATTGTCTTTTAAACAATATCCAATCTTCTTTAAAATCAGTCCCTTGATTAGAAAAACTTTTAAATGAATTATAATATGCTGAAAAGCATATTATAATGAAATACAATGAAAGCACACCCATCATAACAACATAGATTAATAAATTTTAAAATGTATCATGTAATCAGTACTCATGAAAGAAACAGTACTTACAAGTACCTTAAAAGCCCCTTGTATGCTCCCTCCAGCCAGTATTTCTTCTAGAGGAACCTGAATTTCTATCCTGTAGATTAACATTGCAGTTTGGTACTGGTATAAATGGAATCATAAAGTAGGTACTCTTGTGTTTGATTGTTTTCATTCAGTATTGTTTGTAAGACTTTTCCATATTGCAGCATGTATTAGTAAATGATTTATTCTCATTGTTGTTTTGTATTTTTTTGTGTTAATATTGAACAGTTTTAAGAGTGATAAAGAGGTACCAATGTCTGTTTTTTTCTACATGGTTTGAAAAACTCTCACTTTCATTTTGGTGTTTTTCTGTTCCACCAGTCTGTCCTAAATGCAGTCTGAAGGTACAGTAACTATGAGCCTGGATCAATTAAGAGTTTTATAAGAAAAAATATTGTACGGTTTATTTATTCTTCTACTGATGGGAATTTAGGTAGTTTTTGCCTTTCTGAATAATGTCTCTATAAACATTGTAATATCTTTTTGGTAGACATATAGATGCATGTCTGTTATTCCTTTGGATTTTTAGTAGCTGTGTGTGTTATATGTAGATGTCTTTGCTTACACGTAGAAATTCTATTTGGTTCTTCTTTAAATCGGCCATGTCGCTTTTTATGGTTTCCTATTCGCTGCAGGTTTTTCCAAACTCACCTTAATTTTTTTCTTTTAGCATAGAATTCATATTTGATAAGTATAATACCAGTGTTTGGTTTGTTTTGGTGTTTATTGTCTTCTTCTAGTTCTTATTCATTATGCTTTGTGTATATATATATATATATATATATATATATAAAATTGTGTTAAAAAGGTATATATAAAAATAATTTGAGACCTAGGATGAAGGTGCCTTTCTACAGAGAGGATTTGCATTTGCTACCACAGGGAGCCCAGGGACTACTTTAAATTTATAGTTTGAGGTTTTTGGGGCATATTCATTTGATGTGAATTCTTAAATGCAAGCCATATGAGGGATGATTATTTCTAATTCATCCTTCTGGATAACCCTGAATATGTAGTCTTTTGGGGTTTATGCTTAATATGAAGAGGATCTCCTATTAGACTTACCACTTTGGATGAGCCCTGAGCTTTTAAATTTTGTCCCCTTCATATTGTGAAGTTATTCAAACCAAATCTCAAATTTGCTTGGCTTGTCAAATGACTTTAGGATAAAAGTACCTGCAGTTCTCTACTTACCTTGAAGTTTCTGTTTTTTAGTTTTAGTTTTGGTTCAGTAATTCTTATCTATAGTTATTGTTTGTTTTTTGAGACAGGGTTTTGCTCTGTAGTCCAGGCTGACCTTGAACTCTCTATGTACCCTAGGCTGGCCTTGAACTCTTGGTAATCCTCCTGCCTCAGCCTCCCAAGTGCTGGCGCTACAGGGGTGTGTTGCCATGCCCAACTAGTAATTCTTTATTATCTCACAACTCTCCAGAACTATGTTTTTGGATCTAACTTAGCATTTTTAGTGATTTCTGGTGTCAGGGTTGGTACAGATTAGCCCAGGAATGTGAGGGTAACAAGTCCTTGATTGTGTTTAGGAAAAATACCTGTGGTTGTTGTATGGAGCGTTCTGTTGAGCAAGTTGGTAAGTGAGGGAGAGGGAGAGGAAAGAAACAGGAGATCAGTTAGGAATCTGTTATTGTTAAAGTGAGAAATGAAAATGGCTGAGATCAAGGTAACACAGACGGGAGAGGCAGTAAGATTTGGTGATGGCTGGACATGGAATGGGACAGAAATAGGAGTCAAGAATGTCCCAGGGTTTTCTCATGATCAGAAGCAAAAGTGGGGTGCCATTTGTTGGGATGGAGAAAACCAAAAGGAACAAGTTTAGGGAAATAAATCAAGAATTCAGGTTGGGGAACGTGTGTTTAAGATGCCTATTAAGCATCCTATGGAGATATTGAATAGGAACTTGGCGAGATGTGTCTGGAGTTCAGAATACAGTTCTGGACTGGAAATACATACTTGCGAGTCATCAGGTATGCTTGTGACCTAAAGATCTGAATATGAGTGAGCTCACCAGGGACAGGAAAATAAGCAGAGAAGAGAGTAAATTTAAAAGTTTGAGCCAATGGGACATCCAGTGCTTAGAGTTTATTTATTTCTTTATTTTGGTATGGGACTCGAACTCAGGACTTGCTCTTGTCAGGAAGGCACTGTGCTGCTGACCTATATCCCCAGCCCCAGCCCCCATGTTTAGAGTTTAAAAAGATGAAGATTCATCCAAGAAGGCTGACAAGGCAGGTGGGAAACCCAGGAGAGCAGTGCCCTTGAAGCCCAGACCAAGTGTTTCAAGGAGAGAATAATCAGCTATGTCATATGCTGCTCTAAGTTTAAGTGCATTTCTGTGAGGTGAAACTTGATCATTATAGTTGGAAGACGGTTTTTCAGGGAGGCAAATTTAATGAGAGCTCATTCAAAGTGGTGGGAATGGAAATCAGATGGAAGGTGTGTTCGAGAGCAAATGGTAAGGGAAGAAGTGAAAATACAAATGTAGACAACTCAGAGTTTAGCTGTAAAGGGGAAAGGAAAAAAGGGGTCCCTGTTTCCTGCTGGAAAGGAATATGGGGATGAGGGTAATCAAGAAGAATTTTTTTAAAGATGGGAATTATCATAGCAAGTTTGTTTCCTGATGAGGATGTTGCTCTAGGAGAGAAGAATTACTATGGGGCTGTGCAGTAACAGAAAGGGGGAACGGAATTTGATACACAAGCAGAAGAGTCCATCGCAGAGAGGAGCACAGGCATTTCACGCATAGTAGTGGGTTCAAACTTACGTGCCCCGGCGCTGGTAGGGGTAGCGTTGGGACAGTGCTTTTACTTCCTGCGCGAAGCAAGGTCATTTGATGAGAGGGGCATGAAGGATGTTTGAAAAGTGAGGAATGCTGAATATATCATTTCTTTGTAAATATGTTTACATTCAGTTTGGAAGTGGAGTAATTTAAACATTTGAAAATGTCCTTATAATTGTGTAAAACTATTAAAATATTTCTTTATTATATATCCGTTCTCAGCTATAAAAGATTCTTAAATAGAAATGCCGTCCTTTAGACTTGTGTAAATGACTTTTACAAAGCTAAAAAGTACTTACTCTACAAAGGATATTTGGCAAACAGAAGGATTTTCATAATCCATATTCCTACCACTGAAGCCTAACCCTATTCTTAGGTGCCTTATATTTTTTTCCTTGAATGCCAAGATGCTTTTTTTCAGAATAGTTAAAATCATGTTTTTTATACACTTTGTCCTTCTGTGCTTATCAGCTGGTCCTGTAAATATTTTTCCATGTTATTGCATAGTTTTCATGGCCCTCAAATAGTTGGGTCATGATTTGCTGAACAATGTCCTATTGTTGGACATTTAGGTTAACAATTTTTAGCTATTCCATATAATTATTTTGAACAAATATTCCTGAGAAATTCATGGTGTGCCGTCTTTCATTACCTGATCAGCTGTGTTATGTTTCTGAGTTGTGTAACATAGAAAATAATTCTGGTTTGACTTTTCATTGTGACTTCGCAGTCACACTGTGTTAAAGTAGATTTTTCTTTCCTAATTTTACTAATTATATACTAGGTTTGAAGTGAGCACAAAGAAACAATGTGTGTCCTGGCTGTTTTGTTACAATTTGGAATGTAATTCTAATCTTATACCAAATTTTAGAGTGTATATTGAAAGTAGAAAAACTCGGTACAGATTCCCTATGATGAATGTGAGCACTATGTATGGCCAATGTGGGCAAATAAAAAAAATTTAAAAAACAAAGTAAGAAATATTACATATTTTAATAGGTTGATCCGGGGATTAGTTTTGGATCATGGTGCCCGTCATCCAGCTATGAAGAAGCGGGTTGAAGACGCATTTATCCTTACCTGCAATGTATCACTAGAATATGAAAAAACGTATGTGTTCAGTTCTCTCTTTAGGTCTTGACTCATTCTTTTCATTGGCTACATAGATTAATGGGTTTAATTTTGGCAGATTCATACATACACATACTGTATTTTGGTCATATTTAACTCCTTTTGCTCTGCCATCCCCAGTTGCACATTTTGGGGGGGGTTCAATATATAGTGTATATTTTGCCCATGTCATTTCTCTTTATAACTTTTGAAACTTTGTTTTCTAAAAAGGTTTAAACTTTTTTTTCCCTTCTGATGTTTAACATAGACTTCTAGCTTTCCTTTTTTTTTTTTTCTCTGCCTTTACTAGCTTATTTTTATTAACTTTTTAGAGAGGTGGCCTCTGGTTTCTTTTATAAGACTGCAGAAGAAAAAGAGAAACTGGTAAAAGCTGAAAGAAAATTTATTGAAGATAGAGTACAAAAAATAATAGACCTAAAAGACAAAGTCTGCGCTGGTTCCAGTAAGGGATTTGTCGTCATTAATCAAAAGGTGAGATAGCCAGCTTAGATTTTAATTATTTGTAAAGTATCTTCAGCATTCCTCAAAGTGAACCCCTGGCAGTCCTTAAGACTTTCAAGGTATCTTCAGTCAAAACTATTTTCATATTAATCATTATGCCTTTTGCACTTTTTGACATTTGCAGTGTTAGTGCAAAAGCAATGATCGATAGAACTGCTCGCAACTTTATACAAATAAGGTAGTATCACCAAAGTATGCTAGTAGCTATGGTCTTTATTGCCAAAACACCACATACTTGCAGTTAAAGAAAAGGCAGTTTCATTTGAGAATGTCTGGATGAGGTGGTAAAACTTATTAATTTTATTAAATACTGATTCTTAAGTATGCATCCTGTTATAATTCTGTGTGGAAAAATATGAGGCACAGAGAAAGCACTTCTGCTGCATAACAGTGTGACGGTGTCTTGAAGGAAAAGGCCTATATAATTGAGCTGTGAGCTGAACTAACCACTTTTTTCTTTTTCTTCTTTT